CTTGTGTACCAGTCACTGAAGGTAAGCATGCAATTACAGCAGGCGGTAAAGAAGGCAAATGGTATGTTGGCCTTCATTGTGAGAGGTTTTGAGTACAGGAGCAGGGATATGTTGTAGTAGTTATACAGGGCCTTGCTGAGACCACACCAGGAATATTGTGTGCAGTTTTGGTCTCCTTTTCTGAGGAAGGATGCTCTTGCTCTCGAGGGAGTGCATTGAAGGTCTACCAGGCTGATTCCAGGGATGGTGGGTCTGACATATGAGGAGCGATTGACTAGGTTGGAATTGTTTTCGCTAGTCAGATGAATGAGGGGGGGATCTCATAAAAACTTATAAAATTCTAACAGGACTGGACAGGGTAGATGCAGGGAGGATGTTCCCAATGGTGGGTGTGTTCAGAACCAGGGGGTCACAGTATGAGGATTTGGGGTAGGCGATTTAGGACGGGAATGAGGAGCCATTTCTTCACCCAAAGAGTGGTGAGTCTGTGGAATTCATTACCACGGGAAGTAGTTGATACGAAAACATTGAATGTATTCAAGAGGCGACTAGACATAGCATTTGGGGGGAATGGGATCAAAGGTTATGGGGAGGAAGCAGGATTAGGCTATTGAGTTCGATGATCAGCCATGATTGTGAAGAATAGTGGAGTAGGCTTGGAGGGCAGAATGGCCTTCTGCTGCTCCTATCTTCTATGTTTCTATGTAAATTCTGAAGACTGGAAATTGAAACCACAGTTAAATTAAGCCCTTTGGCTGTGCTACAGAAGAGAATTGTCTGTGATGTGAGTACTGTAAAGGAGTACATTTGTGATTAATTGGAATGTGTTTTACCGTGTGTTTTAATCTTTAACCTTATGTTTAAAGCTATTTAAATAAATGCTTAAATGTATGTTTACCAAAGAAACAACCCGGCCCATTCTCTGAGCTGGGTGAGCGTCCCAGTGACCTTGCTGCAGCATTGCAATGATAGCTGCAGGTACAGCCCAACTTACAGCACCAAAATGCAGAAACAGCCTGTAAGTGATTTGAAGATGTGCTGTGAGTGTTTTTACAGGCTGGCACATGTTGGATGCCAATGTCCATGGATGTGGAGAGTGTGTAGCCGGTGCTGATGGAGAACATCCTGAGATCTTGGTGACAGGCATCCAATGTGGAGGCTGTTTGGAGCAAGCAGCAAGCTGCATTTGCCAGGTATCCACTCTAACTTCCATGTCAGGTTTTCATAACGTCTAGCTTGTTTGGTGAGTTTGGTAGGAGAAATCTGAATATTAGTGGAAAGAGTTGATCCATCAACAATGGGTTTAACAAATAACAATTCCCCTAAATTGGCAATTTGTTGCTGCCCATCAAGAAACTCACCTCTTTTTGATTTAGCCCCTTCCCTCTCTACTGAACTTCCCCTCACTTTTTATGGGTTGCATTGCCTTTAACAGATCTTGCATGTAAATATTTAATTAGTTACATAAGTGTTTTTACTGGTAGTGTTTGGTAGTTTAAAGAAAAACTCACCATGATTTTGGTAGGGGAGAAAAATCGCTCAGTTGAAGTATGAAAAAAAAAACAAAAACTTGTCCCTTTGCTTGTTTAAAAAAAACATAAAAGCTGGTCCCAATGTCAAGATGGACTTTGCTGAACCCGTCACCCAATTATGCCAAAAATCTTACCACAGCCCTTCTCACTCAGACTCCTGTAAGATTCCACACATTGTATTTGGCCTGGGGTAAGAGCGCTAGAATAAATAATCTTTATTTCTAACCTCACCAAATCTTGCTGTGAAATTACTTAATTGGGTTACACACTCAAAGGGATAAGAAAAAGTTCACTTCTTTTGTTACAAGGCATACTGTTCACAGACAATAAGTCCACACACTTATATTTTGTTTGTAGGAAAGCCATAAAGAAATTAATGCATCAAGGTGATAAAAGGGATAAGAATCTCAGTCATGAGCAGAGATTAGAGATATTTGGACTATTTCTACTGGAGTAGAGAAGGCAAAATGGTTTGCTTGAAATAAATCTCTTAAATTATGAAGGGTTTTGTAAGGGCACATAAATAAAAAGTATCTCTGGTTGGGAGAAGAGTAATAATTGATGCTTAAGAGAATTAGAGAAGTTGATTTAAGCTGTGAGCTGTTATATTCTAATTAGTTATAGATTAATTAGAATCAAACTAATTAATACAAAGCTCATTGCTTCTTTTTGAGGAAGAAACTCTCTCTCAGCCGTTAAAAAAGAAATTGAAGGAAAGGAAAATGCAAGGCTATGCAAGAAAGGGTGGAGGATATTGAAGTGTGAAGTAATTCATTTTAACAGGAAGAATGTGGGGACACAAAGTAAATTAAAAAATCTAATTCCAGACAGATATAGATGCAGAAGCAGATAGACCTAGGTGCATATATGCATAAATTATTGATAGTCTGAGAGTGTGATTAATAAAGCATAGAGCATTCTAGGCTTTACTAATAGAAGTTTTGATATGGAAGTTATGTTAAACTTCTAACACACTGATTCAGTCTCATCTCTGCCTAAGTTCTGGATGCCACATTTAACAAAGGATGTGAATTGAAGAAAATACAGAAAAGATTCATGAAAACAGTCCCAGAATGCAGAAGATAGTAGGAACTGCAGATGCTGGAAAATGAGATAACAAGGTGTAGAGCTGGATGAACACAGCAGGCCAAGCAGCATCATAGGAGCAGGAAGGCTGATGTTTCGGGG